ACTGTTATGAGTCATATTGTAAATATCTGTGTTATCCTATGGTTTTCGGTGCTTCCCTTTGGAGATTGAACTACCCAATGTTGAGAGCTGCTGCTTTAGACTTAGTATGCTCTCTCAAGGACCTTCAGGACTTCACAACAAAAAATTCATCGAAACATTCTGATTGTGCCATGTATGCCCTTTCTCTCTGATGTGCTGGACATTTTCTACCATGGCAGCTGCTTAAACTAGAGAAGAAATTCATGTAAGGTACCCAACAACGTCTGAACGGAAGAGTGGAACAGAGTCCGAATGAAGTTGACAACAAGGATTTTACCTTGAAAAGGCAAGAGTGGAGAAACCAAGGTTTTCAGGCTAGAGTTGGTAGTTAGTCTGTAAAGTATAATCTCAGTAGCTTCACTGTGATAGAATTGATCGATGACAAGCTATGCATCATTCAATGTACAATCTGAAAAGTTTGAAACTTTTTACACACTTTAAAGCAACAGCAGCCAAATTAACACATCCAACATTTTTCATGTTCTGCAATCCTCACACCACCATTAAATCACTTTCTGTTTGAGTTTTTAAGAACTTTTGTAAGTAGAGTGACATAGGATGGACTCTTTCTTGTCTGGCTTCTTTCCCGTAGCAAAACAGTTTTGAGACTGATCTCTGTAAGTTTCAGGGCCTTGCTATACATGTAAAATTTTTGTCTGGAGCATCTATACGAAACTGTTGTGCATTTATGGTCAGTTGATAGTTTTTTTCTTCTTAACTTTAGATGGGATTATGTCAAAGATAAACGCAAGTTTTGCTTTATACTTCTACTAAAACTTTATAGCTTTAGATTTTTGTTGTGAATTTAGATTCATTATTTAAACTAGTATGCATATAATTTGTTCCATCATGTATTGAAGATTACCTTTACTTAACTGATTTACTTTTACATATTTTGTTTTTAAAAAGCAAAACTTTTCTTGCATGGATTTATTGTTAGACTCTCTGTCTTTTTGTTCTACATAATTATCTTGATTATAGATCCACACCCTATCAGTTACTATGGATTTGTAATTAGTTCTAAAAATTGGCAAATACTTTAAATCTTCTTTTTAATCAATGCTGGTTACACTATTCTAGAACTTTTATATTTCTATGTGCATGTTTCAACAGATTGTTGACTTCTAAAAGTAATAGTGCTGGGAGATCACCTCAGTCTGCATTGACTGCAAAAATAAAATTGGAGAAATGATATTTTGACAATAATGAATACTCTTACCCACAAATAAAGAATATGTTCTCATTTAGTTATACCATTAGCTTCACTATAACTTATTTTCAATATATAGGACATGCACAGTTTTCAACAAATATGTGTGGAGGCCTTAAAATGTGAGCCTACTTCCACATTAATCAAATGTCAGAGAGTTAGAACTTTCCTCTAGTTCCTTCAAGGTTATTGTGCTTCTGCCTCAAACAAAGGTCCCACCTAGATGTAGATCAGAGAGTTCTGCTCTCTCAAGATTATTGTCTACAGGTGTGGTTAATAGCCAACCCTTGTGCTCCAGAAATAGAGAAGTAGTTTGTTCCTAACTGAAACAAGAGTCTAAGGATCCATCTAAATTCCAGTTCTCTTTATGGAAATAAAATTTAAAAAAACCCAGGGAGAGTGCTTTGCCCACAGAATGTTTTGGTCTAGGATGTAAGTGTCACTTCTTTTGTTCTAGAAACAAACTGTTTAACTATGAATGTAGCCTGAGACTTTTTAAAAATTTAATTTAATTATATTTTTAATGAACATTTATTTACAGCATTTCACCAAGTTAGGTGAAAAAGACATAATAAGAATGTAGTCTTTTTGAACTTCTTTTTTAAAATTTATTTTTCCATTCAAAAATTTACACTTCCTCCCCTCCTCCCTTTCCCCTTCTGCTTCCCCTCTCACCCTCCTCCCTTCCCCTCCCTCCTTAAGAGAGGGCAGGATAAATCTGACCACACTGAACCTTATAGAAAAGAAAGTGGGAAGTAGATTGCAACACAAGAGCACAGGAGACCACTTCCTACGTAAAACCCCAGTAGCACAGACAACAAGAGCAACAGTGAATAAATGGGACCTCCTGAAAGAAGCTTCTGTAAAGCAACAGACACTGTCATTAAGACAAAAAGGCATCCTACTGAATGGGAGATCTTCACCAACCTCACATCAGACAAAGGTCTGATCTCCAAAACATATAAAGAACTCAAGAAACTGGGCATGAAAATTCTAATTAACCCAATTAAAAAATGGGGTACTGAACTGTAAACAGAATTCTCATCAGATGAAGTTCAAATGGCCAAAAGACACTTAAGATCATGTTCAACCTCCTTAGCAATCAGGGAATGCAAATCAAAACAACTTTGAGATACCATCTTACACCTGTCAGAATGACTAAAATCAAAAACACCAATGATAGCCTATGCTGGAGAGAATGTAGAGTAACAGGAACACTCATCCATTGTTGGTGGGAATGCAAACTTGTGCAACCACTTTGGAAATCAGTATGGCGGTTTCTCAGGACATTGGGAATCAGTCTACCTCAGGATCCAGCATTATCACTCTTGGGAATATACCCAAGAGATGCCCTATCATACTACAAAAGCATTTGTTCAACTATGTTCAAGGCAGCATTATTTGTAATTGCCAGAATCTGGAAACAACTTAGATGCCCCTAAATGGAAGAATGGATAAAGAAAGTGTGGAATATATACACATTAGAGTACTACTCAGTGGTAAAAAATAACGACATTTTGAATTTTGCTTGCAAATGGATGGAAATAGAAAACACTTTACTGAGTGAGATAACCCAGACCCCAAAAGATGAATATGGTATGTACTCACTCGTTAGTGAACTCTAGCCATAAACAAAGGACATTAAGCCTATAGTTATCAAGCCTAGAGAAGCCAAATAACAAGGTGAACCCAAAGAAAAGCATATATAGATCCTCCTGTAAATTGGAAGCAAACAAGATTGTTGGGCAAAAGTTGGGAGCATGGGGGTGGGAGTAAGGGGAGTGGGGTTAGTGGAAGGGGAGAGGGGGTGAGAGAAGGGAGAAAGGAAAGACTAGAGAGAGTTTGGGGGAGTGGGAGGATGGAGATGGAGGAGGGGTGGATATAAGAGCAGGGAAGAAGATATCTACATTAAGGGAGCCATTTTAGGGTTGGCAAGAGACTTGGCTCTAGAGGGGATCCCAGGTGTCCAGGGGGATGTCCCCAGCTAGGTTCTTGGACAGCAGAGCAGAGGGTGCCTGAACTGGCCTTGAACCCACTATCACACTGATGATTATCTTGAATATCACCATAGAATCTTCGTCCGGGGATGGATGGAGATAGAGACAGAGACCCTCATCAGAGCAACAGCCTATGACTTTCAGTTGGTATGTTCATCTCTTTGTATCATGTTAATGCAGTCTTTTGTCCTACTACTACCTTTTTGGGTTAGGAGTATTTTAAGCAGTTGGAAATTAAATGCAGGTGAGTTTTTAGTACTCCCTGGAACTCCCTCCCAATACTCTCCTATATGTTTCTCCATTTTATTCTTATTCACATCTTCATATTCTTTACTGTATTTCTAAATCCCCATGCCTTTACCCTGTCGAGAGGTATTTTTGTTGTGACTGGTCTCTGACAGATATGTCTGCAATATTTTATATTTTGATATTTTTAAGACATGGTCTGAGAAACATCATCCACAATTGATGGAATCAGATTCAGAGACCCACAACTAAACACTAGGCAGAGTCAAGAAGGATGAAGAATTGTAGGAGTCAGAGGAATCTAGGAGACCATGAGAACATGGCCCACAGAATCAACCAAGCAGGGGTCATAGAGGCAGGCATACAGAGACTGAAGCAACAAACACAGAACCTGTATGGATCTGAGCTAAGACCTCTGTATATACTTTATGGTTGTATAGCTTGGTGTCTTTTGGGGACTCCCAGCAGTGGGAATGGGGTCATATTTCTTACTCTTTTGTGCTGTGGAATAATCTTTCTGTACACTGTGAAATATGTGTTGCTCATACTGTTAATAAAAAGCTGATTGGTAAATAGCTAGGCACGATTGTGGGACAGAGAGAATGCTGGGAAAAAGAAGGGTGAGTCAGAGGAGTAGTGAACAGATGAAAAGAGAAGCAACATGGACAAGCCATAGTATTGAGAAAAGCTAGCATGCCATATGGCAAAGCAAAGAAAAAATTGGGGTAATTGAAAATGTAAGAGTTAGACAGCAACAAACCTGAGCTATTGGTAGAGAGCCCTTATAATTAACATTAAGATTTTGTGCAGTTACTTGGGAGCAGTTTGCAGGACAGAAAGGTTCCCCTACATTTTTGGCTGTGCTTGGGTTCTGTTTCCACCAAGTGGGTTGCCTACTCTAGCCTTGATATAAATAAGGGTTTGCGCCTAGTCTTTTTGTAACATGTTATGCCATGTTTGGTTGATGTAGCTGAGAGGCCTGCTCTATGTTTTTGAAGGGAAACAGAGGAGGAGTGAATTGTGGGGACAGGGGAGGTAGAGGTATGGACTTGGAGGAGTGAAGAGAGGGGGAAACTGAAGTCATGATGTAATGTATGAGAGAAATAAAAGTGTTACTGTTTTACATAAACTGCTGATCATTTACTTCTACTGAATAGAAATTTAACTTTATATAAGACAATGAATGGTACACATAAAAGGAGGGAATATGTGATAAAAAATAAAAAGATTAACAAAAGATTGTCTGCAGTTAAGATGGGGAAATAGACTTCAGTGTTCAATCGCATAGCCTAGTGAACATCACAGATTATACATTATACATTTTAACTTTTCTGGAAAAGTAGATTGCAAATGTTTACAGCATGAAAAAAATATACACCCTCTATACCTGAGGTCCAGGAAACATTGCAGAAGAGAGTGGAAAGATGGTAAGAACCAAAGGATCAGGCCATCTGCCACAGTTACTGCCTTCTGTATATGATAGGGAGCTGCACCCATGAAAAACTTACCAGAGTTGAGCTCCAGCGGGTTTCTGGGCTGCAGGACGGATATGTGAATTCAGCAAAGAATGAAGAGTCTGACCACCTTTCAAACTGATGGTCCCGACCAGCTCAGGTCATCTTTATTTATACAAGTTCAAATGTATTCAAGCATGAGCATTTTCAAAGCATCTTCTTTAAACAGTTTTCAAGCGTCATTAACATTGCTTCATTTTAGCTTCTCTTTCTTTCCCACTTCCTTGATGTCATTGACCTTTACCATTTATCATTATAATGCAAGTCAAATGTTTATATCTAGCCAGGCACTTCTTAGTCAGACTCAATCTTAGCTGTCAACAAACATTGTTAAACATTAAGAGGTTTAAGTCCTGTGATTATTTCTTAACAATATGATACTTTCATATTTTTGTAATCAGCTGAGTGTATTGTCATGCCTAGGTTATCATTTCCATGTGTATGCCAGTTTCTAAGTAAAATGTACATCACTTTTAGGTGAACTACATTTATAATCCTATTCCTTTTAATCTCTAAATAGTAATGATTAATACCTAACTCTTTAATTGTTGGGAAAAATTTCTATTATTCCTGGCAATTTCTGCATGTACTTTTCTTTTAAGGAATCTGGGAAATTTAAATTCCTTTATTGATATTTTGACATTGGAAAAGTATCTAAGTATTCATATACTGGCAATAGAGATGTCTGCCATTAGGTGTCCTATATCTTTTCCTTATATGTTCCTATAAGTTTTTAATTATTTTCTTACAAGTTCCTATGAGTTTTTAATGTTCTGTTTTAAAAATATATTTTCCAAGTTCTTACGTTCTTTGGATTATATTTATCTCTTTTTAGAATAATTTAATAAGCAATAATCATTAATCTTAGTGAGTTTCTCCTGCTTTCTCATGGTGATCGTAGTAAAGGCAGCCAGGGGTGACCAGAGGAATCAGTTTCTGTAACAGACCAGAGCTTTTGTTCCCAGTAAACTCAGGCACAATCAAGACTAATAAAACAAAACAAAAGGTTACTATAAAAATTTGCATAGAAAAAGTTAGAGATGCCTGAAGCCCACGAACCCCTAGGTTCACCACAGGGGTCTGCAGTGTTGTTTCCACAGGTTCTTGCTGAATGGATGGGGTTCTCCAAAGGGCCTTGCCATCTATGGAGCTCCATTTGCAAAACACAAATGTCTTTGCAAAACAGGATGTTTAACATACATAAACATAATAAATACAATATCCAGCAAGCCAACAGCCAGCACCAAAATAAATGGAGAGAAACTCAAAGCTCTCCCACTAAAATCAGGAACAAGACAAGGCTATCCACTCTCTCTGTATGTATTTAATACAGTACTTGAGGTTCTATCTAGAACAATAACATGACAAAAGAGATCAAAGGGATACAAATTGGAAGGAAGAAGTCAAACTATGACTATTTGCTTATGATAAGATAGTTTGCATAAGTGACCCAAAAGTTCTATTAGGGAACTGCTACAGCTTTAGTAATGTGGCAGGATACAAAATCAATTAAAAAAATCAGTAGCCCTCCTATATCCAGATGATAAATAGGCTGAGAAAGAAATCAGAGAAATATCACACTTCACATACAACATCTTGGGGTAACTCTAACTAAACAAGTGAAATCACTCTATGACAAGAACTTCAAATCTTTGAAGAAAGAAATTGATTATATGAGAAAATGGAAAGATCTCTAATGCTTTTGGATAGGTAGGATCAACGTAGTAAAAATAGAAATCTTATCAAAAACAATCTACAGTTTCAATGCAATTGCCACCAAAATCCTAGCACAATTCTTCACAGACCTTGAAAGAACAACGTAGACAGAAATTTCTGTCTTGCCTTGAAAGACTCCCCTGGGGCGTCTTCCCTCGGGAGAGGCCCCTGCGCCCCAAAGATCAGTCGAAAACACGCAGCCGGATGCAAACTGCAAGAGGTTTATTGGAGATACACAGGCACCTGTGGGCGACAAGGTCTCTCGGAGAACTTGCGCGCCTGCAGGTTGGGGGTGAGGGGTTTTTATAGGGGAGCAAAAAGCAAGGTTTACAGAAGCGAGATGCAGGGTGGTAAATTTTTAACCTTAGATAACATTGAGGGGACTTCTCAGCGGTTTATTGTTCCTCTCATCCTGCCTTCCCCCTTCCTGGCTGGCGACCAGATGTCTGATAGCATAGCCCCTGATTCGTGACGAGCCCCGCTTTCTACGTGGCTCAGGCCTCGCAATCTTCTCTTTCTTTGTTCCTATGACCTATCCATAAATCTCATGTCTCGCAGCCAGATGAGGCTGTCTTTGCTCAGGTGTCTTTGCTCAGCATCCCCGCCTTTAATGAAGCTTGCTATCTGAAAACCTTTGCAGAGCGTTATAACTGTGGTTAAAGTTAAAACCACAGTTTTAACTGTGACCCCAATGAAGTTGGGGTCCTTCAGCCTGATTGCAGAGCCATTCAGTCCCAAAGAAACACAAAGAGGCTCATATTAATTATAAACTGTTTGGCCTATTAGCTCAGGCTTAATATTAACTATCTCTTACTGCTAAATTATCCCATAATTCTTGTCTATGTTTAGCCATGTGGTTTGCTACTTTTTCTCAGTAACACATTCTCATCTTCCTCTGCTTCTGAATAATGACTGCATCTCTGCCTTTCCTCTTCCCAACATTCTCCTGGTCTGGTTGCCCTGCGTATACTTCCTGCCTGACTACTGGCTAATCAGCATTTTATTAAACCAATATGAATGACAAATCTTTACAATGTACAAGAGCATTATCCCACAGCAGAAAAACAATCAATTTTATATGAAAAAAAAAACCAAACCCAGAATAGCCAAAACAATCCTGTAGGGGTGGCATCACCACCCCTAACTTCCAGCTCTACTATAGAGAAATAGTAATGAAAACAACTTGGTATTGGCAGAACAACAGACAGATGAACCAACGGAATTGAATCGAAGACCCTGATTGATACTAACACACATACCTATAAACACCTGATTTTTGACAAAGAAGTTAAAATTTTAGAATGGAAAAAAAAGCATCTTCAACAAATGGTGCTGGCCTACCTGGGTGTTGACACATAGAAGAATGCAAATATATCCATATCTATCATCATGCACAAAACTCAAGTCCAAATGGATCAAACACGTCAACATAAATCCAGCCACACTGAGCCTCATAGAAGAGAAAGTGGGAAGTGACCTTGAACTCATTGGTACAGGAGACCTTTTCCTGAATATATCACCAGCAGCACAGACACTGAGATCAACATATAAATGGGACCTCCTAAAACTGAGAATCTTCATTAAGGCAAAGGACACAGTCAAGAAGACAAAACATCAAAGTAAAGAATGGGAAAAAATCTTCACCAACCCCATACTGTGCAGAGGGCTTGCAGTCAGAAGGCCACTCATTCATTACTGGCCATGCAGCCCCAAAATAATTACACGTAAACTATATTATTTAAAACACTACTTGGCCAATAGCTTAAGCATATTGCTAACTAGCTCTTACATCTTAAATTAACCCATTTCTATTAATTTGTGTATCACCAAGTGGCTGTAGCTTACTGGGCAAAGTTCCAGCATTTGTCTCCTCTGGCAGCTCCATGGCTTTCCACTGACTCAGCCATTTTTCTCCCAGCAATCAGTTTAGTTTTCCTGTCTGGTCCTACTCTGCCATATCACAAGCCAAAGCAGCTTCTTTATTCATTAACCAATAAAAGCAACACAAAGCAACACATATACAGAACTTTCCACATCAAATGTTGGGTACCAGATGATGATAAATGCTATAAAATAGTCCCACACTAGCTCATAATTGAGTATAATAAAGAGTTATTTATTTAGGAGTAGACTCACAAACCAAAGTCCTCTGCACTAACAGGGAACAGGTACTGAATACAGAAGCCAGGGGAGACCACAGATGCATGTTTTATATAGGCATTTATAGTATAAAAGGCCATGTGCAAGTGGACTGGTATCTTAAAGGCTAATGGCTGAAGAAGTTCCCACAGTACCTCCCCTCTTTTGTTTAAATAAAAGAGTTCTAAGCCTAATACAAAACTATATGTAATAAGAACAAGTATTTTGTAGACTCCAGGGAAGGCATCTGTCTCCTGGGGCAGCTACATGGCTTCTCACTGACTCCACCCTTCTTCTCCGAGCATTCAGCTTAGTTTTCCTGCCTAGTTTTACTCTGCCCTATCATAGGCCAAAGCAACTTTTTTATTCATTAAGCAATAAAAGCAACACATATACAGAAAGACTTCCCATATTATCTCCCCTTTTCTGTTCAAATAAAAATGAAGGCTCTAACCTTAACATAGTAAAAATTACATATAACAAACCAAGTAAGAATTACAGTTACAATATTTATAGCTATTTTAGCTATTTTATATTTTATCACAACTATGAAAACTATAATTATAGCTATATATTCTTTAACTTCATCATGGGCCCAGAAGGACATGATAATATTATCTAAGTTAACAGGAAGTGCATTGTAAGCAACTTCTAAAACTGTAGAAATGACAGAGACATCTCACTGCCTGGACATCAAGGGCTGATCTCCAAAATATACACAGAACTTCAGAAACTAGATATCAAAATATCAAATAATCTAATTTAAAAAATGGGGTACAAATCTAAACAGAGAGTTCTCAACAGAGGACTCTCAAATGGCCAAAAGATACATAAGGAAATGCTCAACATCTTTTGCCATCAGGAAAATACAAATTAATACAATTGTGAGATATCATACACCTGTCAAAATGACTAAGATCAAAAACAAAAAATTATGCTGGAGAGGATGTGGAGTAAGGGGAACACTCCTTCATTGCTATTGGTCACTTTGGAAATAAATATGGCAGTTTCTCAGAAAATTGGGAATTAATCTACCTCAAGACCCAGCAATAGCATTCTTGGACATACACCCAAAGGATGAACATGCTTCTACTACAAGGACATTTGCTCAACCATCTACATAGCAGAATTATTTGTAATAGCAAGAACCTGAAAACAAACTAGATGCCCCTCAACTGAAGTATGGACAAAGAAAATGTACATTTGCACAATGGGGTACTATTCAGAGGTTTTTTTTAACAAAACAAAACAAAATATCAAACAAACAAATAAA